AAGTGTTTGTGTGGAGAAAACATTCACATTCTGGGAAGCACAAAATCCATCACCCTCCAGAAAAGGATAAGAAGAACGCTTTACATCCCCCACAATTCTCTGCCAAGGACATGTTGGTCCTGCATACGGACAAAACCGCTGCACATGGAAAGGGTGAAACCAAACACAAAAAGCATGTGTGGAAAAAACATTCTTCAGTGAGAAATAAGAAGACGCATCATCCCCTGGAAGAGCCTGTGGACCTGGACGTCTGCTCTCCAGCGACATCCACGTCCACCGTAGACCTACCTCTGGCTTTAGACAAGTTGGACGAACTGCAGGAAGCAGATGAGACCATGAAGAAAATGTCTCTCTGGAAAAAACATTCAAGTGTGAAAAGGCACAAGACTCGTCAGCATCTACAAGAGAATCAAAAACCAGGTCCGTTATCCAGACCGGTGACACACTCTGCCAAGGAGGTTTTACTGCAGCCTACAGACCACATGCATGAACTGCAGGAAACACATGGAACCAAAACTAAAAAACATCTGTGGAGAAAACACTCGGTGAGAAAACACAGGACACATCACCCCTTAGAAGAGGATCTGATGCAGGAGTTCTGCCCTCCAGTCCCGTTCCCCACCACAGAGGACTTACCCCTGTCTGAAGACAAGACTAACGAATGGCTGGAACGGGATGAACACCAGAAGAAAATGTCTCTCTGGAAAAAACATTCGACTGCTAACATGGACATGTTTCATCAACTTTTAGAAGAGGAAATGAAACAGGTATCTTTACTGTCTCCGATGATGATCGTCCCGCATCACAAAACCTCTGAACATCATGACAAAACCAAAAAGAAAAGGTCAGTGTGGAAAAAAACTCCCAAAGACAGGACAGATGAACATCTTGACAGCGTCCTACCAGAGGACTTCCATTCTGGTCCAATGACATCCTCTGCACAGGAAGTCCTAGCCTTATCTGAAGACCAGACGGACGGTCCCCAGGAAAATGACGTGGCTAAAAAGAAAAGGCACGTGTGGAAGAAACGTTTTTCTTTAAGAGTGAAAAACAAGATTCAACATTTTCTAGGAGACAAAGTGAACCAAGATCATTCCTTTCCAGCGACGCCTTCTGCACATGAGGTCTTGTCCCTGCCTGAAGGCGAAGCAGACGATGTTTTAGTGGAAAAGGACAATGTTGTAAAGAAAAAGGAAAAGTCTTCATGGAAGAAACACCTACCTATGAGAATTAAAGGCAAGAACCATCAACCTCTAGAGGAGGATCTGACACAGGGTTCCTCCACCCCAGTAGTTCTACCTCTGCCTGAAGGACAAACCCATGAGCACCATGTAAAAGACAAGAGCAAAAGGGGAAAACATCTGTTGAAAAAACATGCCTCTTCGCGAAAAAACGCAATGAATCATCATGAAGAAGAGGAGCAGACGCAGGGTTCTGGTCATCCACACTCCACCAAAGAACTGTTAGCTTTGCCTGAAGAACTGCACGAAAAGGACAAGGGCAAAAAGGACAAGTCAAGGAAACACAATAAAAAAAATAAGACACATCAACACGCAGAACCAGACCAAGAACAGGACCCTTCACTTCCTCCGATGACACACCCTACCGACGACACTTTAGCGCCACCTGAAGACAAAGCCAACGAACAACATGAAAAGGACAAGACCAAAAAGAAACGGTCCGTATGCAGCTCTCTCTGATAAAGGAGAAGAACCAACACATTTTCCTAGAAATGTCCGAATGAGATTTTCTGCTCTTTTTCAGAAACCATACTGTGGCCAAGAGACGACACTGATGAATTAGAACCATCCGGAAGAAAGAGCGCGATCAAACGATCTGCAAACAACTGTGTCATTGTTGGTTCTCCACTTTCACTGACAAACTAAGACCTGACCTGAAAACATCCCACCCTCAAACCAGTCATTCACTGGTGGCATTTTAATTTATTTACTTTAGAATTTTATAATTAGTACGGTTTTAATTAAAATGAATATTTTCGAGAATGCAAAACAGAATTTCAACTAATTGTATAGGAAACCAATAATTTACTAATGTTGTAACAAAAACATTGGTATGAATAAATCCAGTGTTTAAAATGTAGCAGAACTAGTAAACAAATCTGCCAACTCTAACTACAACAACATACTTCTATATGCTGATGATGGAGCGGGTCACCTCATGATAACCTGCAGTTACTGTCAGCGATACAGACGCAGAATCACAGCTCGAACGAGGAACGTGCATTTCACAGATCACGAGAAGAACCGCACCGTTTGTGAAACGTTGTCTGACCCTTTAAGGAAGTTAGTGGAGTAAGTTTCAGTACTCTTTAACTCTTCCTTGTCCCCTGCTCAGATGATGCATCAGCAAAACAAAACGAAACCTGCACAGTCAACAGTCAACATGGAAGGCACCTCAAACACATCGCTCTCCTAAATATCAGTGTCTCCACTGGACTGAATGCAGCCTTTCTTTGAGAGGCCGAGCGCCACGTGACTCTTTCTGTGCTGCTCATTCCTCGATGCTCGTGGCACCACATGGTCTCATCAGGGAGGGGAAAGAGGAAGAGAGAGGAGGAGAGGGTGAGGGTGAAGAGTGAGGAGAGAAGCTGGTGGCAGGAGGTGATGTGGCTACAATTTTTTTTTTTTTTTTACCCCAAACAGAACAGAACTGTGTGTGTGTGTTTGGGACAGACTGAGCCCTGTGAGAAAATGTGTGTGTGTGAGTGTGAGTGTGTGTTGATCTGTTAAGGAGCCACCCTGGCTCTACAAACACTAAGGGATTCACTTCAGCCCCAAAACAACGGCCCCTTTAAATCCCTGCACACGGCGGCGGCAGCAGCTCGATCTCTCTCTCTCTCTCTCTCTCTCACACACACACACACACACACACCACATCCCCATGCATCAGCTTGCATGGATATCGTGCTAAAGCCACTCTCATCCTTCCTAATTAGCTGCTCAGCCTTTGTAGCAGAGGGACTGTTCACTGGGAGACAATGAGTGGTCAGAGTGCTGAGGTCGTTGGTTATTGAAAGTCTAATTTTTTTTTTTTTTAATTTAATGACCTCTGACTTGTTTTTCATGACTTCTTTTTTCGGATTTCTTCTGCCAGACGCCGACTTCAGGAAGTGTCAAGTCAAATCAGTTATCTACTGTGCGGTTTATTTAGTCAGACTGTGTGAGACTGTGGTTTGGTTTCACTGAGACTCCGAGACTCTAACATCCATTTGTCTTGTCAGGCCAGTGAGGGGAAAGCAGCCAGTGTCGCATCTGAAACCATGAAGACCGAGCCAGACAGCAAAACCAAAGGTAAGAGCCGCACAGGTTCATATATATATGATTAAATATACTCTGAAAGTCTGATTGATTCTGCTCAACAATGGGCCGACAGGTGCTCTGACTGTTTGCTGCAGTTCTCCACAGACTACAATGCCTTTTACATCACTTCCTGCCTTCCTGTCTGCCAACACTTCCTGTCATTCTAACACGGCGGGGTTTTTATTATTACTAAGTTCTCAGTAAGTTCAAGGCGTCTCCTGGAAAATGTTGCCTCACTGGTGCATCCACGCTCCGACAGCCAAGATTTAAATGTTGGCACTGCAGCAAAAATAAAAACAATACAAAGTCAACATTAAAATAATCACTCAATATTCAAACCTTTTTGGCTGGGGAGCCACTTTTAAAATAACCAGATTAAAATGATCTACCTAGGATGATAAAACATGGAGCTTTAATTAATTTTTTTAGCTGCTCATGATGTACCTTTATTTAAAAGGTACTGCATCAGAGTACTTTTAAATTAATTCATGAATTCTGTGCTTGAAAATGCCACTAATTGCTGTTAATTACAAAAATCATTTAATCTGTAAAAATAAATATGGAATCACTATTTGCAGCAAAAGTCGTCGAGAAATTCTGTAAAAATTCCCTGGTGTATTTAAAATATGTGAATAAAAAGGTGGTGTTTATCAGCAGCTGCTGCTGCAGACAGGTTATAAACACACCTTTGTTGTACTTCTGGAGGGTTGAACATCCGTGACATCACATATTTCCTAAACAAGGCTAAATACAGCCACTGAGTCTTTTTAGAGCTCATGGGGGAAAAGAGTGCTATTTTGAGCGTTTATTTTTTATTTTTTTATCAAACTTGTTCCAGTGGCACAGTTCTTCACAGTGCTCATAGGAAATTCTCCAAATGTGAATGGATCTTGTCCATAGCTATTCAAATATGTAAGAGATCCCGTCGACTACTCTCAGCCGTCCTGATGTCTGTGGTTGATTAAAACATTTTCAGTCGTGTTTCATCACCTGAGCCTGTCGCAAGAAAACTAGGTTAGAGTGAGTGACTGTAGTAACCTTTAACTCTACAGTAGGTCTACTGTCTCTAACGCCTCGTTTGTCTTTGTCTCCTCTGGACGTCAGGACGAGAGCAGTGTAAAGTCCTCTTCCCCTACGAAGCACAAAACGAGGACGAGCTGTCGATCAAAGAGGGTGAAATCATCTCCATCGTTACGAAGGTCAGTTTTTGTACTAATCCATCATATTACGTATCATTTACGGTTTACTACCATCGTGTATCCACCTGGGTATTTTGCATGATTTGGTTATTCAGATTTTTTTATACAGGTTACCAAAAGATTATTTGCATCCAGACATGTACTTCAAGCTCTTTTTCAGCGTTGTTACACATTGTTCTGTGTGCAGGACTGTGCTGATGCCGGCTGGTGGATGGGTGAGATCGGGGGAAGGCAGGGTGTCTTTCCAGACAACTTTGTGAAGCTGCTGGAAGCCGAGAAGGAGGTAACGGTGGCGTTCGACATAAAACTGACTCCTGATTGGGATTTACTGTATGTGGATGGAAGTTTTTCCTTGCGATGACGGCAGATTTCTTCATTTCTGTATTTGTCCAGAGACCAAAGAAGCCGCCTCCACCCAGCGCACCGTCGGCAAAACACATCACAGGTAACTCCCGTCATTCCGTCTGTCTATTCTTCTCTGCTCTCCCGTACAGTATTTAAACATCCCAGTAGTTTGTGTAAGACAATCAAACCAAAACTGAACTATGACCTGTAGAGAAAAGGCCAGATGTCAAGAAGGTTCCTCCAGAACGCCCTGAACATCTACCACACAGAGACCAGGACCGAGGTACACGTTCGACCGCTGCGGCTCTGCTGAAATCACTCCTCACTAATTCTTCAACTTCTGCATCTGCCTTCTGAACTGTCCTGCTAACTGTCCTGCTAACAGAAAAATAACGCTTCACCTGATCAACAGTCTCAAAAACAAAATTAAATATGCTTTTTATCATTAACTAAATGTTTAGGTTTTGAGTGATGGGACACAGACATTCTGTAACGTTATAGGATGTTTCTTCAAGGATATTTGTAACAAAAGTCCAAGTTGCTCTGAACAACTGTGTCTTTACACCAACCTCCAAATTACTGCAGACGATGAACTGATTAGACAAACATCCAGTCCTGGTTTATACAGGGATGAAAGCTAACATACAGTATGACAGAGTGACTAGAACCGATTACAAGTTGTACCTTTAAATGTGATTAAGAAGGTACAATGTAAGCAGGTGGGGTACCAGAAGTTGTACTGGGGGCAACTGGATTTTTGAGTACAACACAGAAACAGTGGTCAGGAGTGACAGAAAGTGAAGGGATGTGCAGTCCGAATGACAGATCGGTTAAAATTCAGTGCTTCCTTTTTGAGGATTGCATTTATGAATTTGTTGGATTTAGAAAAATCACAAACCAAAAGGACTTCAAATATGGAATATAAATAAATGACGAGACAGTAAAAGGTAAACATCCTTCCTCTCAGTTCAACTGCCCTGTGAATTAACCTTGTCTTCTTCCCTTCGCTCCTGATGTTAACCTGCTTTGAATCTAAAACCTTTTTCCGCTGCAGCTCTTTTCTACATCGCTGAACTTCTCCTCCATCTTATCGGAAATGTTTTTTAAATAACGTTTCTCTTCCCCAAGTGTGTGTATTTACGCTCTACGTTTGTTCATCGTTTGTACACACAGGTGAAGAGGTGAAGGTCGCCTTCCTCGATGTGTACGGACACACAGGTGAAGAGGTGAAGGTCGCCGACATCCCAAAGCCCTCCCTTCCATCTCACCTTCCCAAGAAACCCCTCCCCCCAAAGACTAGCTCCTCCTCCTCCTCATCCTCCCAGCCCACGCGACGCCCTGAGAGACCACCCCCTCTTGCGTTAGTAAACAAATACACACACACACACACGCTCTCCAAAACAACATCCACCCACGCCTGAGCACCTCTGGTCTAATGTTGTTGTATGGTTTACCTGCTCAGGTGTGAAAGTCCCAAATCTGAGGGCAGAGCTTCGACACCAGACTCTGCCCCTGACCGGTCACATGACACCGGTGAGTGCGAGTGACAGGAGCGCGGACCAATGAGACCGGGACTGGACATCACTGTTACAGAGCTCCAATTCTGTGTGTGTTTTATTGGTGTGCTGATCTATCTGATGTGTGTGTGTCCGTGTAGACATGGACCTGGACGCTGTAGTTTCCTCCACTGAGAAGCTGAGCCACCCCACAGTGTCACGGCCACGAGTCACAGACCGCAGGCCTCGCTCGCAGATCGTCGCCTCTGTCAGTTTTTATTAGACGGCTAAAAATAATTGAGCTCGTTCTTTCAGTCACATGACGTCACTGGTGAGGGTAACTGTGTGTCTGTCCTCCTGCAGTCTTCTCTGTCCAGCGTGGACCAGGATGCACCTCCAGCAGAGGAGAAAAAGGAGAAGGAGAGAGGAAAGGAGGAGCAGGAGGCTGCTCCCCTGAAGAAAGGACCTGTGACCATTTCAGTACGAGCCCTTTTGTATTAATTGCTGCAGTTTTGATATTTATCCAGCAGAGGGCAATGTTAATACACACTGCCCCGTTTTTCTACTGTATAGTCAGTCAATATTAATGACAGCCGTTGGTCATTAGTGTTTGTAGACAAGTGAGGAAGATCAACAACCTGGGGTTATTATTATTATTTTTTTTTAATAGATTTCCGATGCTAAAGCACCACTGCCTGCCAAGCCTTCTGTCCTGGCCCCACCAGTCTCTGCCCACCGGCCCATCTCCCCTTCATCCACCCCTGGACTGAGTCCCTCACCCGAGCGACGATATTCGCCTGTGACCTCACCAACGGTGGAAGAGCTCAGGAATCAGCTAAGAGAACTGAGAACTTCCGTAGAACGGCTAAAGACTCAGCATAAGTAAAGGAGACACGTCTGAACTGTACTGACTGGTACTGTACTGACTGGTACTGTACTGACTGGTACTATACTGACTGACACTGTACTGACTGGTACTGTGCTGACTGGTACTGTACTGACTGGTACTGTACTGACTGGTACTGTACTGACTGGTACTGTACTGACTGGTACTGTACTGACTGG